TAGAACCAAAGTGGCGGCACTTCTGGACTACCCAGAACCGTCCACCGTCAAGCAATTACGCACGTTTAACGGCCTGATAAGCTTCTATAGACGATTCATACCTGAACGCGCGTTTGTCACGAAACCTCTTACCGACAAACTTCGTGGAAATGCGAAATCCATTAATTTGGACGACACCGCACGAAAAGCGCTCTCAACAATTAAGGATCTTATCGCCAAAGCAACAAAGCCTGCACATCAAGACACTCAGGCACCCATTAGCATCGCAGTAGGCGCATCGGACTCGGCAATCGGAGGAGTCTTACTACAATGGGTTAACAACTCCTGGCAACCTTTGGCATTTTTCTCTAGATGGTTGCTAGACACCGAATCGAAGTACAGCACATTCGGTAGGGAACTCCTAGCTATGTATTGTCCTGCACACATTTTCAACACTATATCAAAGGCCACGAATTTACTCTTTTTCTGACAAGTACTCTCCCCGTGAGTCTCGACAACTGGACTACATTTCGCAGTTTACTTCAGATATTCAACACATTTCTGGAGCAAACAATGTACTTGCAGACGCCTTATCTCGCATAACTTCCTTGGACAGTTTCCAAGGAATCGACCTTCTGAAACTCGCTGAGCTTCAAAAAGAAGACACTGATCTTCAGCACGAGTTATCGTCCATAACACTCAAGCTATGCATCAGACAGATGGAAACAGTTAAGGAAACCTTTCTTTGTGACACATCTACAAGTAGGGATCGCCCAATCGTACCAAAACGTTATCGACGCAATGTCTTCAATACATTGCACAAACTTTATCATCTAGGCGTTCCTGCAACCATCCAGCTTATAGCAGAACGGTTTTGCTGGTCTGTCATGAATAAAGACATGAGGGAGTGGGCACGCTCCTGTGTAAGCTGCCAAAAATCTAAGGTTATCAGACACAACAAATGTCCCTTAGGCTCATTTAAAACTCCCGATGCTCGTTTCGACCATGTTAATCTGGATTTGGTAGGACCTTCGCCGGATTCAAATGGATACTCTTATTTCTTAACCTGCGTATACCGTTTCACTCGATGGCCAGAAGCAGTAACTATCAAGGACATCACTACTGAAACAGTGACCCGCGCCTTCGTCGAACGATGGGTAGCAAACTTCGGCTGCCCTTCAACCATCACCATAGACCGTGGACGTCAGTTTGAATCTGAACTTTTCCGTCGTCTGGCCACACTTTTAGGAATCACTGGCTTCCGAACGACTGCCTACCACCCACAAGCAAACGGGTTGATAGAACGCTTTCACCGGCAACTAAAAGCTTTACTATCAGCTGCAGACGTTTCACAGTGGACTGACGCTCTTCCACTCGTCTTACTAGGTATTCGCAATGCAGTGAAAGCAGACATTGGATACACTGCGGCTCAACCCGTTTATGGAACGACACTTTGATTTCCAGGAGAATTCGTGGATCGTTCGTCTTCTTCAATGAACATGGATCTAACCTCCTACACGAACAGGCTTACAAACGCAATGCGTTCAGTTAAACCTGTTTCCACTCGACCTCAATCAACTGTTGTTTTCGTTCAACCTGACTGACGACATAGTAAACACGTCTTCGTTTGTCGAGACTCTCATCAACGACCTTTCGAATCGGCATACGAAGGACCTTTCAAAGTTCTTCAACGCGAAACTAAGTACTATATAATCAATAGGAACGGAACCAACAATAGTATCAGCATCGATCGCCTCAAAGCAGCGTATTAGGAAGGAAATGCTATCTACGTCGATTTCGGTACAATTGAACCACACGACTCCGACAATAACAATGCCTCATCCGACAACCGACACGCACGATGATACTTCGTTAGTATCTGAAAATAAACTTAAAACAACGCGTTCTGGGAGAAGAGTAAGATTTCTATAACATTTAAATGACTATTGCACGTAAGACGCTTGTTAACATTTTGTTCCATCTCGATTTTCCATGGCATTATATATAATATAAAAATTATTTCAATATGCCTATATTTGTATGTATTTATCATTTGGCTAATATGTGTATTAGACAGATTTTTGTAAAAAAAAACCAAAAAACCAAAAAAACATTTAGTGAAAATCGCTCTTACGTTATTAACCTTTTTTCGCCCATTCTGTGTCTTAAAGCGCGTACGAGCTTATTTCGACATGAGGTTTACGAGGAACCAAACTTTTCATTGTACATTATTTTCTTACTATATTGTATTTCATGGCCCCTTATAGTGAGGAAAGACGACCAGACGCTGCTAAACATAGCAAGCTATCAGAAAAGTGTCTACCAATGACAAAACTCGTTGGGTTTAAACTTCTGGCTGGCCACGTCTTAGGGTCATCACTACATCACTAGGGGGGGAGTGATCTGTAGCGGTAAATAAATCTCTAAAATAAATAGCTCTGTAAGTTTACGACATTGGATGCTGACCACATGTTTTAATGGACTTGTTATGGAACCATCAAAGCTAATTACTTAACAAAGACGACCAGTTTTTATTATCGATTGAGCCAGTGTGTCATGAGAACTAATCAATTTAACATTACGATAATACATGTGAACATTAATCAGAGAACAATTAGAATACTTGGTTAACATAATTATAAAATCGATCGAGAAAGTTAAAGTGGAAATAAGGATTATTAGTAATAGGTTGCGTTTCTTTAGTCAGGCTTATCAAGGTAGAATTATTGTCTAGTATGATATTAGTACTGCGCTAATAATAGACCTAATCCTAAAATTGTAGACTTGTCATGATATAACTGCCTGATCTATAAGATCTTACGTAGAAGTCATACCATCGTCTACACCAAATCATCGTATCGTAACAATCACCAATACATGATGTAGAACAAGCTTAGGCTAGAGGTAGAACAATATATTTAATATGAATAAAAGATATAAGGTAACATTCAGTAGGGACCACGCCTGCATGGCCGAGCCATGCCATTCGATCAATTCTAATTCTTTCAATACATTCTTCCCGCCTTCTCCATCGTTAGGTATTTCTCCGCGTTAAATATTGAATGCCTATTTTCTGAGTTGTTTCGTGTTCAGCTTTGAGGATCATGTGGTTATGGTCCAATGCCACTACAGACTCACCTAGCTGAAGGCGCTCGGTCGTGCATCCGCACCAGACCACGAGTGGGAACGCCGTGCTCAACATCTACTGCAATCGCTAGCCAGATTAGATCAGACGATTCTCGATATATTGATAGTGAGCAAATATATCTCCCGATCTCCTCAATTCTGTCTTTTGATTTTTCTTGGTGGGTACGAGTTATATTAGGTGTTACTGGTTGAAGCGTTGTCAAACACTGAATACTTGTGACATCTTCAACTGCATGGATTCGACAATCGTATAATTGCAAGTCTTACATTAATCTAGGTCTGTTTGCTGACTATAATAACTAAGTTGACTAACACCTATTTTTGACTGAAGTTCAATAAATCTGTCGGTCTGGAGGAACTCAGCAACTAAACTTCAATTAATCTATCTTTCGTGTGTCTCATTACCAGGAAATACTATGAGGTTGAGAATGTTTTGAGATATTCACTAGATTAAGATCCAAGTAACTCATAGTGAGATACTATCAGTTTAGAGTAGTTAAAACCATCAGATTCTGTGACTACGTTCAGAAGAGATAAAAGAAATGGGCTGGGCAGAATGTCGTCCCTGGTTTGAGCGGCAATTTTCGGCAATAATTAAAGAGTATTATATTTTAGTTATTGGCAAAAAAATAATAATTCCACAATTCATTGTCGGTAGTGTTGTGCTTGATTTTCATGAAGATTTGGGGGATAGAAGTCAAAACAAAATAACGTATGAATTCAGGTGTAAATACTGGTAGCCAAGGAAGAGGGAAGACGTTAGAAATTGTGCCAAAAGTAGGTAGATTGTTAAGAGCTTTATTATCGAAACTCTACTCACAGAGTTAGTTGGACAGAGCTTGGCTATAAATAGCTGGTTGCTTGGATATCGTGATAGTAGCCATGAATTTACTGGACATATACCTAATCTACTATGGATAGGAAGGAAAATGAGAATTCTTGACGGATTATAAACAATAGCGGTCCTCAGTAACTCCTTATCAACATCATATATAGCCGTTAAAATCTAAGAGGATATACTGAAGTATAATATAACGTCTAGGGCACAATCGAAAGTGAGACCGAAACATTAATAAAAGTATTATTACAAGAAATTCCATCGAGTGCCCTAACAATCAGGGAAAAAGACTTGGTAAAAGCTGCCTTTGAAGAAGATAATGTCACGTTCAGGAAAGGGGGTAATGCACGGACTTTTACAGATGAGATATTAGATAAGTACTGAAAACAGTCCCGAACATTCTAATGTCAGGATATTCTAGAAAGGACGTCAAAGGATCAGTCTACATTGATGGTTACAGATTTTCGTTGGATAATAACTTGGTGCCACTTTCTGTGCACTGAATCGACCATCTAATTCTGCCATCCCGTTGAATTATTATCATTCTCTTCAAAAGCAGTAGCATTACAAAATAAACCACTTTCAACTAAACAACTAATAAAAATTAATTTGTTGAAACAATATATCTATTAAGGAGATTGTCTTCAGGTGAGAGTTCAATTAGCAAATATTTTGTGTGCAAATAATCGTGTGACTTATTTCCACAGAATTTTTAGTCATCTAAGCTAATTGGATACAGTAATGACTTAGCAAAATTTTATTTTGTTTAAACCTTTCAACAAACATCAACTTCTAAATTCTCTGTTTCGAATGTTGAGTTTGCGGGAGATTTAGTCACCCTAAAGTAGTTCAAGAGTTCCTAACATTACGGTTTACTTACCACATAATAAAACTGATTTTCGAGTTTGCTTTAATGCGAAACTATGTTAATCTGGTTACATCGCAAATCATTCGGACTAATATTTGATCTAAGGATAATATTTTAATTGACATATTACTATTTTACTTTCTATTCCATCTGAGTAAATATATAAAAATGCGTGAGCGTTTCTCTACTGAAGACAGCAATAATTCTTCTACGGAATTTGGTTGCTCAGTGCATGAACTTCAGGGACTTATGCAGTTGCGTGGAGCTGAAGCAGTAGAAGTTGTGGATAAAAGATTTGGTGGAGCTTCTGGATTGTGCAAGCGTCTTAAAACCTCTCCAACTCAAGGTTAGTTGGCGACTTTTTCCGAAGCGTGTACTTACGTAATGTTAGACAAGCCTTTTCAGTTACTTTTTTATCATCTGGTTACTAGTTCTTTTACTAAGTATTTTGGTGCTTTGAACTAATGATTTAATTTTGAAATTGTGTTCAACAATTTCATCGTTAGAATATAGATAACATTAACCCCCACAATACTTAATCAGGACGTGCACCATATAATTAAGCAGATTATTTGGAGTCTTCTAAGAGCTGACTTTTTAAGTAAAACATGATAGGAGATGAACTAAAGTACTAAAGAAAATGTTAAATTTCATTTATAACCGTTTTTAACCATTTCCATTACTTTTAAGTCATTTACGTTTTCTATCATCGTAAGTAATTCGAAGATAAATTTAGTCACTGAATAACTGTCTGCAGAGCCATTGAAAATCAGTCTGAATTAAACATATGTTTCGTGCGTGTATAAGCCTCCTCGGCGGTCTACCTTTGGTTTTTCGTAGAATATCGGAAGCAGAATATTCAGGATTAGTAAGGAGTGTTCGTTTTTCTGACTACTAAATCAGAGAAACTATCAACTCGCTTTGTTTCATAAAACTCATAGATGATATCAAGACGCAGTGGTCTATAACCCTACGGATCGTTTAGGCACAGAAATAATTGTCTGCTTTCTTATGCTTGTTTATGATCAGGTCTTATTAAGGCATCATTAAGAGTTTACTGACTTGGGCGTTTTCGGTTTTGTTAACTCAGTGACTGAATAACATTCCCAGTATTAATTTTTCCTGAAAACTAATCGTGAAAGTTCTCAAAATTCCTGACAAAGCCTATTGGCTCCAGAACTGATTTGTTAATGATACATTGACTGCAAAGATAATGGTATTTATTAGAGCATGATAGGTATATACGTTTTAGCTTGCGTCACATGGTTGTCTGTAAACTGGTAAGGGTCAATTGCAATCAATAACCTCAATCTTTCTCCAATTTCTGAGAGCTAAGATATCGATTTTCATACTCAAACCCCATTATGCCCGTTAAATATAGTTTTTGAAGAGCTCAAAGATCAGATATCAGTATACTTCAAATTAATTTCACAGGTGAATACAACATAACAGGGTTTAAACAGCAAAAATAAAATCGATATTTGACTATTTATTGGCATGTTTGTCAAAAAGGGGTCAGAAGGGGTAAATAATCAATTTCATTCAGAACAATGCTGTCAAAATTTTGATTACAAGAGCAAACAATCATTTCCATCCACACCTGACTAGCTATCCAAAGTTGATTTATTCACTTGGTCAAACATAATCATATCTGACTATAGGCGTAGCCATAGCTGTAATTAGAATGTTAATGAACGGTAGCACAGTTAGATGTACAACTTGTAACCTAGAACCCCACATAACATTTTTGACTACAGCCAACAGATAAAGAAAAGGTACTAATGAATTCATACTGAGCAACTAAGTTTGACAATCAAAACTTAGAATTTGTGTAAAAAATCTCTGATATATTACGAAACTATAAACTTCGTGGAGCCCAAGTCGTTTTGCAATGGAGTTCTCAAAAAGATTTAAATTACAGCCACCATTGGTTCTCACATATTTTAAAGCATTTATAAAGTTCATTTTAATATTCTCAACATTTTTTATTGGGATGTTTGTGAACAGCTGTTCACTTCCAACGGAGAAATAAATAAAGATTTACTTGAAATTGCAGATATCAACTCAAGTTGCATTCTCTGTAATACTGTGCTGAGTATGTTATCTTGTCTCAAGTCATGGTTTGTTCTTTGATTGCAGTTTTATAAAAAAGTTTCAGAATGCTTTCTCACTGTTTTTCTCTCCAGATATATGTAAGTGTATCCATTTTTACGAAACATAAAAACATATCACCGTTAGACTAGGAACGTTACTGGTCCAATCCATATCTATAGTTCTAGACCTGATAAATTTAAAAGAAAAGGATTAAAGCAAAGTTTATTAATTTGAAAGCAGAAGATAATATATGGACCTATCCTTTCACATCGTTGAGAGATTGCATACTTTTTGATATCTGATATAGAAAGTGAAATTTTGTTAGCAGAACGTTTACCTCAACTTTATGTTTTGTTTCCATTCCTGACTAAACCTACAAAACGTGATAGTTTGTAGGGCCTGATTAACAATTTTTAGATAACCACTTAAGATTATTTCTAACAAGAAAAAATAAGACAGTGAAGCCTTGATATAATGAGTGAATACTAAGTGAGGGATTATACTCAAATAAGGACTGTGTCTCATGATATAAGTCGTTTGCGTCTTTCGGTTACAATTTAAATGAGTAAAAGACTGCGAGTGATGTAAAAATTATGAATGAGAGAGTAATATTGATCTGTCTCCAAGTAGAGCTCTTGTACGTTTGCGTCGTTTTGTCATATTTGATTGTCTTTTTCGAACTATAAGCTTGGATGTTTTGGGTGATAATACGAAATGTCATATCTGCGGCTTATGTCATTATAGGTTTTCTTAAGTGATATCTGTTGAATAAAAATTCCCATCATCAACGAAATAAACTAGAAATTTTAGATCATGTAGTAGAAGTAGTTAAATTAAACGCAACCGAATAAGACTGTGGTTTGAAAAAATTATTCGAAAATGTTTCTTTAAGGTGTAGGAACGTTTAGTGGACTAGATTTAAGGGGAAAATATTTGGTCGCAGCGATGGTCAAAAAAGTAAAACATTTTAAAGTAGTGCCACTAATTTGTTTAAAATTTATTACCAGTAATTATTATGGTAACAAAAAGTTATGAATATATGTTGTTCGTAAATGTTGCCAAAATAGTCATTAATGACGCACCTGTGTCACGTAGGTCTTTTGAAACTCAGATATTTTTTACGGTTATTTCTAATACAGTGCAGCTTTTTATTTGACTTGTGTTGGTTGTTTTTAAACTATTAAAAAATTTTCACAGATTTAAATCATGAGTCAGTTGAAGCTAGACCACCATTGAAAACCTGGAAGCACTGGACGGCCGTTTCGTCCTAGTATGGGACTCCTCAGCAGTGCGCATCCACGATCCCGCACCACGCGGGGCTCGAGCCCATATGTGAGATAAGCGTCCCAGTCTCTTAAATCTGATTGCTGTTAGTGCTGAAAAATAAGACTGAATATGGTAGCTATTATTAAAACCAGTACAAGATATCTTTTGCAGAAGAAAACTGGGTTCGGACACTGGAATACAGATACGGCAATTGGAAACATACGAAGATGCAATCATAAGTTGCCTAGAAGTCGGAAAATCTTGATTGATGCCTTAGTTGTTTGTCGCTGTTGGTTGGGAATGTAATCTGATTTTGTGGCTCAGCGATTCAGTTGATTTGGCGAATGACTCAATGAAAATGAGAAATTTTTAGGAACACGCTATTTTACTATCCACAAATGCACTTGATAGTTTGGGCTTACATTTGAGTGGTAACTAGAAAGATCGGGCTTACGTTCTGATGGCGTGTGAAGATCGTAATTAGGAAAATGTTTTTAATCAATATGCGTTACTAAATTTTTATTTTGTTCAGAGGTATTCATTATGAACGAGCGGCTAATGATTCCCAATATGACGTTTTTGAAACTAACTTGACTTAGGTTAATGAATAGCACGTGAGCTTATTTTAATCTTCCTAAAAGCCAGAGGATACGCTCTAGAATCAGAAGGCCATGTCACTTTTCTCTTCAAACCTGATTATTAACTTTTTTTGAGTAACAACACACTTTATTAATCCCTCATATGTTCTATATGAATAAGCAGATTCAGTGAATTTTCTCATCTATTGAAACTTCAGAAGTTAATTAATTTAGTTAACAGTATATTGAATAATGTGTTATGATCAACAAAGATTTTAAATATCACTGTTTTAAATGATGAAAACGATGTTTTAATGTTTAATAAGTACTACTTTAAATAAATTGGTCGGGTTGTACTAACCAGCCCTGAGAAAGTGAGAATGACTAAAAGACTAGCTATTCATAACTAACCAGTAAGTCTCAATTTTCCTTTGAAATGATAATTCGTAAACATAATAGTTTGTAACTACAAATGGGTATAAGAGTAGGACAGAGGTTATGCAAATGGTATATATATATGTTCCGGTATTACGGAAATTAAGAGGCGTTTGAAAACAAGGTTTCTAAACCATTAGTAATTGGCAGTTAAACGTATTAAAGTCTCTTTAGTTATAGGATTGCATTATTTTATATTTATATTTATCACAGAAGTTATTTAAATACTTGCACAAGTCGTTATTGTGCTATGTCCATAGTTTGATGTTGAATATCTGTCTATAACCTATGTCTTCCTTTTGCCAATTACAGTGTTAACACTGTTGTTACTTATTGGGATCAAACAAGAAGTACATGGAATATATCCAAATTAAGTTCAGAAATATAACAAGTAAATTTATCCTTTGTTATGATAAAGAATTGATGTAGTGCATTGAATGAAGATTGATACGCCAAAGTTATATTTAAATGTCAGTGAAAGGCTAGTACCAATAAAATTAAATCAACCGAGTTAAATAAACGAAACGTTCTGTTGATCACTACATCCCTTTTACTGTGTTGGGGATCCATAAGCTAATGCTTTATTTTGACAAAAGCATTGGGTTCCAATGGTACAACTTGTTGTAGTCTTATATTTACAGTTTGTACTTTAGAGTGTAATTAAACTGTAAATGAGCAACTATTTTCTTCCGATGGAATGTGACTAATAAAATGCCCCCGAATGCCCGGGTACGGCTGAGAGTGAGGGGGAGTTTGTTCTCCCTCTCTAAATGCTCTCACATGACCACACGTATACAGATACTGCCAAGAAAGTCCTACTCACCGCTTTCTCGTGGTGGGGTTGTTGTTTACGAAATTGATAGGACGCAAGGCGAATTGCCAGCGCTTTAACCGAGTTCGTGAACACAAGGGGTCCACCTGAGGGTGTTGGAAAACCCTGATTCTAAACCAATGATGCACATAAGCTCCAGGATCCTGATGGAACAAATGAAGTATGAACCAATTGTTGGCCACTGGCTACCATGGGATTGCATCTCCTAAAGTTGATTCACTGCTTTGTGGATCTGACCTTTAGGTTGAAAGCTGCGGGTGTTACCCCTAAGAATACAACCTACTTCGATATGGGCACCTGGGTAGTATCACAGCCCACACACATACCAAGTGACTTGTGTGGCGTATATATATTCGGTGCCCGTTTGTACCAATATTTATATGTTCAAATGGTAAATAAATAAGATTAATAACATGATATTACCATTTAATCAAAATTAACTTGTGTTTGCCTATTAAGACTCGTTAATAGAGGTTTCTAAATTGACAGGTAATAATTTTGTTAGTTAAAATTTATTTAAGTAAAAAATTAATCTTGACTGGATTTAATTGTTAGTAGATAATACTCTTAAATGTGAATCCAAGTGTGTTTACTATGAAGAATAATGTAACAATATACTTTCCTTCTATAGTAAAACCAGGTTATGTAAATATATATATAGTTGTTATAACTGTAAACTTTTGGCTCTTTGTTTTATAAGTGTTAAATTTATTATTTTTATGTACCTAATAAAATAATGAACGTAAATCTAACAGTTTAATAATGACTCACTACGAATAAATAAGAATTAAGTCAGTCACTCATCGATAACATTGTATCGTAATCATACTACACAATTGATTGACAAGTTAAACATTTCAGCGAATTTAATTCCAACTCAGTGATTCAATGGTACCGTTTTCACCATACGACCTAAGTTTGATTCAATGGCAAACTTGTGATGTGTATTGAATGAATAATTTCAAATGATGATGAAACATTTCCAGTGTTTCTTGGTTTTTAATAGATTTTCAACTAATTACGACTTGTAATAAATATTTATTTAAAATTTTTGTTAGATTTAAAGATTTTGAAAAATAAAAGTCAAGACATTAGATAACAAATATATTAGAATATTAAAAATAAATTGTTAATTTTAATATTTTTAAACAAAAAGCTTTAAAGATAAAAAAACGACTTTTAGTTTCTAAATGAACAGTTATTTTTATTCTTTAGATTATCGAAGATCAAAGAAGTGATTAGTTCAAACCTGTCCTCATTCTGTTTCTCTCTTTTTAAAGATCCGAAACTTCTTTTCGTTGTTTTTTTTTATACTGATAAATAATAGCTTGTAGAACAAAAATAAATCTTAGAATTTTTTTTTCAAACAAAATATCAGTTACCGTATTGTCTATTTCAATGATTTCATTTTCAAATTGAATCTAGGTGGCAATTATTGTTAAATAATAGTAAATAACCATTCGTCGATCATTACTTTACTATTTAATTAGTAATTTTTCATATCACCTTTTAGGTTGATATACAGATTTGATTATTTTCTAGATTAAAAAAGTGAGTGAATGTCTATCAAGTAAATAATGAATGATTTAGATCTATAAGGTATGAATTATTGATTGTAAAAGAAAATATTTTACACATTTGTTTTTAATTTGATTTCTCTGTTATTTTAATTATCTATCGTAATTTTCAAGAAGTAAACATTCTATCATATGATAAGTATTTTTCGCTTTTACTTGAATTTTCAACACTTTTATTTTGATACGATTTAAGAAATTACACTGTAAACATTAATATAGATGTTGTTAAGTAATACTTATCAACATTTGTTACACATACACAATATTGTTTTCCCTCGATCAAAACTTATCAATTATTTAACTAGTTTAGAAAGCTAATAAGAAGAATTTTTTTTTTTGATATAATTTTTTTTGACTATGAATTCCATGATATTAGGAGGGAAACACTGAACAAGAATGATCAAATCATTTTATAGTGAATCAGTGAAATGTCTTATTCTATAAGTTTATAGTACAGTTAGTTTTCAAGGAATTACTGTTTTCATGAGTGGTGTAGTTATTCAATATTGTAATGTTATGTGATTATTGGTTTGACTGTGGAAATTATTTTTTTAGTAACGTTAATATGTCTTTGATATTTTGTTATCAATATATCGAGAAACGATAATATCAAGTTCAGTTACTTTTACTCTGAAATTAAATTCTTGAGGTAACCGACTAAAAATAGATAATTGATTAAACTCTCACAAATCTTTTCGGAAAGTCATCTTAGATAAGCATTTAAAAGAGACAGTGCATCACACGCTTCGATACTTTTCCACATTTAATAAATTCCAAGAAGCTTTGCTTTTATTTTCCTGAATTTATTTGTTCTAGGGAGACGTGTCCAGTAAATTCGATTTATACATTTAGTTTAGTGCATAAAATGAATAACGGATAACTATATAGTGTTAATACAATATGTTGACAGGATCCCTTCATTTTTCTGATTCAACAATTTATTATAGGTGATTGTAAGAATGATGAAAATCCAATTTGTCCCAAAGTTTGCAGATAAGCTTAGTTGTATTGTACAGTGTGTGAAGTTTTGCTAAATTTTACATCAGTGTTCTTATTTGAGTTAGAAGCCCTAAATTGATGAAGTACAGTCAGTTTAGGATTTTTATTACATGAAACAAAGTATGTTTGTTATATTTCCACTTTAAGGAGTCGGTGATCAGAAGATTTCTTAATATTCCTAGTTTATAATTTATCTTAATAGTAAAGACAAATCCCAATTAAGTTTAATGTCTTAAATTAGTATATAACTTAGAAGTGAATTAACTTTACAGCATGTTTCATGGAAAAAATGAGTCACGTATCGGTTGGTGAAAGCTTATTTCACTTAATATTTATTTCCTAACAGAGTAAGGCGTTGAACTGCTTTAGTTCCGTTGAGAAAGTTATATCTTCGAGATATATTGTTGAAATTAATGCTCCGATAATCTGTCAGCCTAATAAAATCCAAAAAAACAGTAACTCCGATAATTATGTATCAAACAGTCTTGACTGATTGTTTAGAATAGTTCATATAGATAAACTTGTAATGTGATTTTTTTCAACCATTTCTTTCATGATGAAGTATAGTAGTGTGCATAACTGATAAGTCTCAAGCCAAGGGGAAATATTTGTTCATTGATGTTCGGTATTCAATTCTTTCCTGTTCATTGTCGATTCATTATAAAATGTGATTTCAAATAACAAATGAAATAATACGACATTCTTTTCTTAAATCAAAATAACAAGTAAATTTATGTGTTTATGAAACCGAAAATGTTCCACGGATAATTTAGAAGTAAATTATCATTATTTAACTATATTTTATCCGTTACCGAAATTCTTGTAATAGCGATCGTTGAAAGAGATCCTAGGAACAATTATTTCTTACTGTTATTATTATGTGAATCTTTTAGGAGTGTAAATCTTGTATCCTATTTTTAAGTGAATATTTATATCAATTATTATGATCATACATAAATAACAATATCTTCGATCTTCTGTTGACAATAGTTGAAGATTGGTGATATGTTCACATTGTTCAATAAAACTATATTGTTTATTTTCTTAAATTACAGTTTATTCATGATTTTGTTGAATTTTCTTTTTTGTTTAAATTTTAAGGATTATCAAGTCATGATTTGGCAAAACGTCGTGAAGTCTTCGGGACCAATATAATACCCCCAACACCTCCAAAAAGTTTTTTTCAACTTATGTGGGAAGCTTTACAGGATGTAACATTGATTGTTTTAATGGTGGCTGCAGGTGTATCACTTTTACTGGCATTATATTCTAAATGTAAGTTATCATTATTAAAATTTGATTGATGGAATATTTTTCTTCTTCAAATTACTACTAAACAGTTTACACTCTATCCTTAAGGAGGAGAAATGATATTCGTAAAATCTCAACGATTAAATCTTAAGTAAATCAAACATTTCGCTCAGCAATCAGGTTCAAGCTTTCTCAACGAAATATAATCAAACACTTAAATTATTGAATATAAATAAGTACATAGTTCTGCGGTTGACTGTATAATTAACAGGTCATTCAATCATGTTAATAACTACTGTGAAACTTCGTTTAAATTTGAACGAAAGTTTTTATAATACTATGTCAGTTTCAGTAAAAAAAGGAGTTTTCACTTGTAAAGTACTATTAGTGTTCACCGTATTTCATTCAGTATAAGCTTTTACAGAATATATAATCTTTAGAATAACTTTCACATTCTTGAATAAAGCAATAAGTGATTGTTGTAAGTATATTATTTTCCACAATAGTAAGTAGAACTTCATTCGTTCATTGCAAATGGAACTGATATATTGTTACAGTTATGGAATATTAACAAAAAACTTAGTATTTAAAAACAATCTATAAAAATCAAATTATTCGATTGAAGAAATTCAGTTGAAGTAAAGATTATTTCAGTTTATGGTTAATACTGGTGAAACAGAAACCTTTTACATAATAAAAATTAGTCAGCATCTCTTTCATTCTATTTCCTATGGTTGGATGACTGACTATCTGCACATGAACTCTTAGAACTTGCAACAAATATGTTAGTCATAAGGTAATTCTGATCAATTTCGACAGGTAACAACATTGGCAACAGATTATAAGTTCCTTTTCATTTTAGAAAATAAAATATCTGGCCAAAATATTGAAATACATGATGAGCATCAGGATTAACCATAACACTCTTGAGTTTCAACTCCAAATAAATCTGTTTGAAATGGTAATAGAAAACCACGATTTATATTGTCGACCAAGTATATTGTCATGGTTGTTTGAGAACAAGTCAAATTACACCCTAAATTGACTACGATTGAAAATATTAGACACTGACATGAAGCTCTATGTTTCTTAGGGTAATATGTTGTTTATTGAGATCAAAGGTTTGGTCGTGAGGGGAGTATGATACCATACTGTTAATGATATGTGAGTTAAGACAGAATATATGCATAGTACTTCGTAATTTATCGGTAGTGTTTTACCTAGTTAGCTTGTTATGCAGTAATTAAGTATATATTTAGATATGTTTATTGTAAATTAGATATTTGACATTGTTTGACATATTTAGTTATAGGTTGGGTAATGGCAGGAATTTGGGTTAGTTTTTTGTTCAATCATATATATATATATATATATATGTCTGTAATATCCTGTCTTCTCATCACTTAACCTGATATAAATCCTATAGGAAAAACCTACGAGCTTTCTACTATTGTAATTATTTTAACTGTTTTTCATCCATATAATATCGATTAACTGAATGGATTAGGATAAATATTGGGTTTTTATTGATTGAACCGATCTATTGCTTGAATTGACATTACCATTATTTCATTTGCTCACTGTTCTTTTTGCTAATTTTGTTTCGCCGTACTGATGTGGCATGAGGACTTGAACTAACGTCCATTTTCCCTATGATAATGACTGATTGGTTGACTTGGATTGTGGAATGGTATTAATGTTACGACAATGGAATGAATATATATAATGTATGCCAATTTACAAGCATAATCAGGTTGATACTGAAAGCTATGTTACACGTAAAGGACAGAGATTTGCGTTTCAATTGTTTGAAATGATGCACTTTATAAATTATTAAAAAAAAATTTGTCGCAAGAATTACAACAAGCTAAGGCAGCAGTTAGGAGCCAGTAATTCTTTGTAGGTTGACTAGAGGGTTCTGTTGATGTATGAATAGCTTATTTCAGATCATTTACAATGTCATTGCAGCGCAATCGTAGTCATCTATAGTTAGAAAAACAGAACAAAACAGAGAGTGCAGAACAAAAGCCGCAAAAATTAATGTGATGGGCTTGTCATTGTACAAGTGCTAAGTTGTTTTATGATCTACCGATTGGGATAGATATTAAGTTAGTCAAAGGCAGTGTAAGTGTAAAATATTCACGAGGCATGTTTAACAAGTACACTCAATAATAACAATTATCAAACATCCTATAGTTTCACTCGTGAAATAGGATATAAACATCGATGCAATCAACAAATAATGGAAGTGATTTTATTTCAAGGATAGATTGTGAAAAATCGTTCCAGAATTTGGGAAATTTACTAGTATAGTGATTTATGTAGAGAAAAGATTAAGAGTGAAACGGTTTCACTAATGACTAAGAGTTATGAATGTTGTAACTAGGTGTTTCTGCAAATTGGATTTGATTAGTGGATGTGAAATTTATTTGATTTAGTATTTTGAAGGGAAAAATTAGATTTCTTTTAAGTCTTTGGTTCAAAAGAGTTAAGTCTAAGTTTTTTGGATCTGGATTTGTGGTTTAACGTAATATCATTTCCGAGAATGTAAAGTGTAGGTTGTCACTTGACAGATTTCAACTTACGTTTATCTTTTACTCAAATGCTGCTCAAAATAAGAGTACAATATTCTAGGAGTGATCAAACACACGCTTTGTACATCAAAATACGTCGTTTATAGTCATAGAGATTAAGAAGTATAAAACCTAGGAGTTATTGGGACTTGAAAGTCTGTTTGAAGACCTGTTACGTGGAAAAATTATCGGGATATTGGAATCCTTAGTCCACCACCGTATAAAGCGACAATAGTATTTGTGCTACCATATGATTATACTATTTGCTTCAAATCTGTTTAAATATTTGCTCATAATATCTGTGTAACAACCACAAAGTGTATCTCATTATGGTCAGAACAGAAGTCTAGGATCTGGATTCATTGATAAGGTACACTTACATCTAAAAAAGTATTCGTAATTCCATCGCATACATTCGAAGACGAATACTATTATGCATATAATGGATATGAAACATTATTAATTCTATAGATAGGCTGTGCGTTGAATTCACCGTTTGAACGCTAACGATACTTTAAGGATGTGGGGTTGAAACTCACAACACGACATCTTAAAGGTTGGATGCTTTACATTTTGAATTCATGGCTCAATTTAAACATAGAAACTAATGGTGAGGAAAATTTAATTTTAATACGAAAAAATGACAGTATTTAAATTCATAAACTTATATAACATTGGAAGTTGAAAATTGTTATGCCTATAGAATCAAACTTAGTCGTTCCATCATAGTTTAATTATTATCAAAATGGTATTTACTCGTTTGAGTTCTTAATTTTTGTAAAAAACTGTTTGTTTCCATTTCATCTCTTTTACGTCTTTCATTTATCCTCTCTTTCTCTCCAATAAAAGCGAACACGTTGAAAAGACATTAAGAACGTACATTTTTCGTTTTGCACATATGCCACTTTTGTTACATTTATTCTTTACTTTTTTACCTTTTAATTTTTAATCATCTCTTGCTGTTTTTCTTCTCTCAATATCTTTGCATGTGAATGTGTACGTATGTGTTAATTGGTTTGTATTTTAAAAGCTTAGGTAAAATGTCATAAAATCTTTCAATCACTAATGAAAACTAATTCTGAAAAGACGATATAGAAAAAAAACACTGTGGAGTAAGAAGAATTCAGTCGATTGATTCCTTGAATTCATCATTTTATTTAGTAAGTAATGATATGTTGAAAATGTAAAGTAGGAAGTAAGTATTCCAATTAACATGAAATCAATTGATTTCTCAGTTATTAAGCATAGGGGAAAAATGTACAGGGAGAGAGATAGAGCTCCGGCTTACCTCCCCTCCTGAGGAGGGATTCATTTTCATTTTGCAGTTTAATTCGTTCTTCTTGTTGAAATTTATTTTTAAATCAATCGAACATTCATAAAACATGATGGAATAATTTTCACAGACATGAGACGTTTTGTTTAACTTTCAGCACAAAATTTTTGTACCGGGTAATTTTTAGAATAAGGTTTATAGAATAAACTAAGTAAAATTTTTATTTCGCTAAACGTTAAACACTGTATTATGCAAGTTATGATCTATGAAATAACATAGAATATCTAGTTAGGTTGATTGTATAGACCTGTGCAATTTAAAGAGTTTATTTGTGAAAGTCGGACTTCAGTCAGAGAACTGTTGGAGAATAAACCCATGGTCTTTAGGTTTTGTTCTATACATGATACTATTCACTCAGTAAATCGGAGCTCAATGTTTTCAACCTTAGTCATAAATATAAATCGTGTTTATCATTGACTGAGTTCTAGATGGATATCCTAAATATTTAGCTCAAAGCTATTAATTATGGAGTCAACCAAGTTCAAAGTAAGACAGTTGTCTACCTACTATAGTTAATCGAGAATCAAATATCTTAGAAAATAAATAAAGTTTGGAAAAGCATATTATCAGATCTTAATGTAATGGATGAGCAAGACTGAACTTATCTAAGGACCGTATTGGCCTGGGTTCGCTCTTAGGTTAGTTCAGATGTGTCTCTTAAGAACTAGACCTTCAATGATCACTTATATCAATCCTTCAATAAAGACTATCTTAAAACATCGAACAGCATTTTTTAGCAAGTTTCTAGATAGGTGTGCATTTCCGTTAATGTTGATCTTCGGAGCAATTCGTCCAGCATAAAAACTCAGCTAATTTTTCTTTGAGGCATGGGAATAGCGAGTGGCTTTACTGGATTACTTTAGAAAAAAAGTTTGTTCAAGGTTCTTGATGAGTGGTTATTTCAAGTTACGATGTTTTTGGGTAAATTAACGTGAAGATGATTTTAAACAGATTGTTGCTTTACATGAAGTGCTTGTTTGTTTCCGTTAACAATGAAACTAAAAAATCATTTGTGTAGACCTGAATCTATCAATAAAATTATATTCATTCATTAAAGATAAGTTTGAATTATTTTTTTTATAAAACACGCTAAAGGATATTGAAGGAAAGTGCAAATC